ATAAAATAATAAAAAGGATAAATGCAGGTGTAAATTTAAAATGTTTTAAAACCACTAAAATATCACATAAAAGTCAAGAAAATTTTAAGGAACTCATTTTTAAATACTATTTATTTCTAAAAACAAAATAAAGCAATGAAACATAAGACAAATTTTATTGAAAAATAGTTTATTTCATAAAATTCCATTTCCAGAATAAATAAAAATGATACTTAATTTAGAAAGAATTGTCGCATAGTTATCTCAAGGAATTAATTTTCTAATTCAATCACTAATCGACTATTTCCACTGATCGGGTTTTACGTTGTATTTAATATCCATGTCACAGCGTTCACAGGTATTTGCTAGGCAAATACTATCTTAGCGAAGGATTTACCACACGTGGTCTTTAGATCTTCTTCTTGCACATGCGCGATGGCATCAGTCTCGAACCAGGATCCCTCTATTCGGCGCGTGTACGCGCTTCGGAGTTAGTCGTTTGCTAACCGTAGCCGTGTAAATATTGTGTGTGCAAATCATGAACTGAATTCGAAAATCGTTTGTGCTTTTCGCGTTCTTTTTTTTTTCATTTTTTCCGATTTTCTTTCTGGTTTAAAAATCGTGCTTGCTTTTCACTTTAAGAAGAGCCCGCACGTGCAATAGATAATTTTATTTTGCCATAATAAGTGTATCTTCAAACCAACATTTCCGATTTTCACTTGAAAGAAACTTTAATTTGTAGCATCGTTTCGAACATTCTTCATCCTTTAAAAACATTCTCTTCGCATTATTTTATATCTCAATTAAAGTGTATTTATATAAAAGTACAATTTCGACCTACGTTGAACGGTGTATCTGAAGAATCGTGGTGCCGGCCGAACAGTGGAGACGAAAATTGGTGTGTTGAACGGTGTGCTGTGAGAAGGACGGTGCGATGGCAGTGGCTACGGGGCCACGCCGGCCACGCACGCTCCTCCACGGTGGTAAATACGCTTCCGGGAATACTTTTGGAACGAAAAACCTATGGTCGGTCCTCGATGGCCTCCCGTTGATCCTAGTCCTAGCCGGTGTTGCACAGGTTGCTGCCATCAGAATGGGTAAGTGTATAAATTTCTATTTTTGGCTGGTTAATTCACACTCTTTATTACTAGAGACAAAATTGTGACAATTTTTTAAATTAAAATTCGTTATTGTTATAACTTTTATACAAAATTGTGCAATAACCTTTTGTAGCTGTGAGCATCTGTGCATGCGTTCTGTGCATAAATGAATGTTTTTCTATATATGACTTCGAAACCGTTAAAATATTGAATAATAAATTCACATAGAGAAGTTTCCGCGTATGTAGCTTAATGTGAATCGTACTCTGACAATATTTTTCATCGGTTTTATGGTAAAGAAATGTTAATCTCACTGCATTGACTTTTTTATTTTTGTATTTTGTTGTATTATTTTTGTTTTCCACGCTAAAACGTATTGGAATAATAATGCAATAATTATGTACACAAAAAGCGTAGAGCATTAAGTAACCATAACCATTTGTTACCATTCTGTCAACTTTCACGTTAACTAATTACCAATTCCACAAAGTCAAATATACGCACACACTTTCGTTCGCCTTTGTTCCGTCAGTTGAATGCATATCTGTTTGCCTTCGTGCATAAGACGTAATTAAATTTCTTCTTTTCATCTCGCTCGTGTGTGGCTTAATTTATAATTTGCGATCTAGAGAATCACAAATGGATAGTTTATGTACCTTCTTGGAATTCTACAATCGATGTATAATTAGTTAATTACATATATTCCTTTCTGAGTAATATGAAAATAGTCAATAAATTTCCTCGCTGTAATCTCCTTCTCTTCGCATACATATGTGGAAAACATTCTAAAGGATGATAAACAATTGATAATCTAAGGAAAGAACTATGTATTGTGAATGATGGGATACCAAAAGAATTAAGTGGTGACGCAACCGCTATAACCTTAAAATTACTTTTATGAACCTTTTCAAGGCCATTATTGCTTTCAGTATTGAAATATACTCCTTTTCTCTTACTTTTGAAAAACACATCTCCTTCCCCCTATAGTGTATTAATAATAAAACTTGGTAATTAATCAAGCTTGTAATAAAAAAATAAAAATAAAATCTTTTATAACCTGTTTCATTAATTCCACGCCTTCAAATGAAATTCCGACGCGAAATTTTTGAGATAGTTATTCTCGATCTATTTCTGGTTCTGTTACAAACACTATGTCGTCGAGATCGCGGTTGTTTGCATCGAAGCATCTCCGGTCGCTGCTTTCTCTGCTCCCCGCTAGGTGCGACTTATGGCGTGGCTTTTCCTCGAGCGTCTAACTTTTTAAAAATCCCGCCTCGTATGAGAATGTAGTTAACAAATCGGGTTGAATTTACCGTTAACCTCATTGCTAGTACGACTTTTGTTTTTTGTAACGTGATTTTAATCCCTGGACCGCGAAAAATTACTAGAATCTGAAAATCACTGAGTACAAAATTTTTGATCGAATTGATTTTCCCTTTTTTTTCCCGCCGTTATATAATTCGAAATTATTCAGAATAAGAATTTATAACGTAAGAATATTCGAATTTCTTTTTTCTTGTGAAATTTCCTACGCTTTCTTTAGGGAATAGACGAATCTTTTTAAATATATTTCTCGGTAATAGGGGTTAACCTATAATCAAATCAATGTATATACGTTAGCGGGAAAGGAAATGTTCGGAGGGGTATTATAAAAGTATGCTTTTTCGTATTTTATTATACATGAATATTGTATGATGTATGAGAGAAAAAGGAAAAAGATAAACAATGACCTCGAGATTCGAAGGTGGGCTTCTGTGAAAGGTAAAACGCGTAAGAGCCGACCTTTCCGGGTAGGAGAAGTTAAATTTAGCAGTCGACCAATTTGCTGGGCCTGTTGCTCTGTAGATGCGATGCAATTAACTAAATAGCACCAGGACAATTTAATTATCAAAAGTTACGAAAATTCTTACGAAAAGCATGTCGAGTAATTTTTATGCGTGTATGTTTATCAACGAATTTATGCTTGGTTAATGAAAAATGTGGCGAACTGATGAACTTTTAATTGGTTACGCCACCTTCTTACACGAGTCTCAAAAGAAGAATGCAAATGCGCGCAAAATTCGACAAATATTTGTAACATGTTCTAATTCCTTTTAACGCTTTATCGGCCGGGAAATTACATTTTTGCAATATTCGTGTAATCGTGTGGCCGCGTGACTTTGGGTCAGCTGCGACGCAGATACGAGTTTTGGACATTTTAACGCGTTTTCTTATACTCTAATCTGTTCGGGATCGGGCAACGAACACTCGAATGATCGCGGCAGCAAACGAAATAAACACAGACGAACGCAGCGTGGCCACGCAATCTTTACGAAACCGGTTCCACTTGTAGTCTTAGTTTGCGTGTAAACCGATCAGGATTTTTTTCAGAACCGAACGATGTGCTCCTTCCATCCAAGTTCCTTCGTTTCCTCGTGATCATTTCGCGCGAAATTTTTTTACGAATTTCGCGATAATTATGTATATCGAAACGGGATCGAAAGTGTATCGCGAAGCAGCATTCTGAGCGAGAAATAAAAGATCTGAACATTTTGAATAGCATTCGATTCGTTATCGTTAATCAGTTTTTCTTTTTTAGGTTAGGTTAGCGGACGAAGAAGTTGAACTGGTTATATCTATTAGATTTTGTTAAGTACTCACTTGAACAGTCGAATGATCGATACGATCGAGGACTACCGTGACATGCTGTGTGTAATGCGCCATCCATATAGGTCCAAGTTTTATGGAGAAAGGAAAACCGGTTTTTCAAACTCGTAGTAAACATGATGAAAAGAATGCTCCGAATTCTGGAGGACTCCCATTTTTCGAGCTTCTTCTAAATTTTATTTCACGGTACTTCATAGAAATTTTTTCAAATTCGAATTTTGCTTTCGGACCTTCCGAAATTGATCGTTAACTTGGCATATATGAATTTGACCTGATTAATAATTTTCAAATATAGAATGAGAGTCGTCGGTGGATCTTTATTTTTAATATTATTTTATTTCGTCAGGATCGTTTAAAAATTATTAATTACTGTAAAATACTGGATAAAATATATAGGAATATAGTCGGAGAGTACAATAATAAAAATTCTCTAGGAAATTTTTGAAGGAATATAGATCCGTATACAACTGCAGAAACGATTGATCTAAGTGCGCACTTATCACGTTTGAAAGCGTGGTAATGCAAATCGGGGATTTAAATGCCACGACCTTGAGATGTTAAACCTCGATCTGAAATCAAACTTCGCAAGCAGATAACTGTAATTGAAGATTGGCGAATGAGGAAAAGTATATGACGATAGTAACATTTTAATCATATATCTGCTAAAACATTTCTGTAGACACGATTATTAATTTAGCAAAAAATTTCTTTGATATTTTCTAATATCGTTTTTGTTTCATCCAGGGACGTATATCAAGTATACGTATCATAAATATCGGGCTCTGTACCCAGGAGGATTGTTTTATCAAAAGATCGTCACACAAAGGCACTAAGTGTCCATATGGTTATGGATCTGGGTAATTCGATACTATTTCGGGAGATACCGTGTTGTAATTGAATACGTATGATGAGAAGATAATACATTTCTGGAAAGCCAACTAAAGGAAGCATAGTTGATCCAAAAGTTTTCCGAATTCCTATGATAATATCAAATTAACGTAAATTTTAACATCGTATAATTTGTTAACTATAATTACATGAAATTTAACGAATATTGAATTTCCCAATGGAACATCGATGTGTGTTACTTTTATGCATGTCATATCAACATTCATCAATTCTGGTTGGTCTACTATAGGCTAATTGTAGACAATAGATAATAGTAGTTTCTAATCAAAATTTTAATAACTATATTACTCTTAAAGATTGAGATTACTATGTTATTGAAAATAATTTGAAAATTCAATCGAAATTATATCCACATAGTTACAACGAAATTTGATTCGTATCATCGCTGTTAAACATATGCTAAATTATAAGCTATCCATAAATGTAACCATACGATTTGCGATTTTAATGGTTCCGTTGCAATTGCGATGTAGTGCCGATTATCCAACGTCTATAAATATAATGACTTTTTGCATCATTAAGTGACACTAAATACGACTTATCTTCTCAGAAAACGTAATCAATAAAAATTACGATAATGAACATGAATAAACATCTCCAGGAAACGAATCTAATTTTAATGGATGATACAAAATTCATGAAAAAGAATGGCGCAATGAGCTTTTCGTTCGTTACAAAGAAAGGGGAATGAAAATAATTGTTAAAATACGAATAGGTATTCATTCTTGCACACAGATTAAAGTCACGTACAATGTTTTTTCTGAGTATGCCAGAAGTGGAACTTTCTCCTTCTTTGGAAGAAGAAAGAAAGAATTAGAGCTTGCAAACTCAGACAACTCTCGAGTGCAAGGTTCTTGGGTTTCATCGACCCACTGATTCGTGCCACTTCTTTTTCTCGTGCTAATAACTGCTTGCGCATCACACAGGAGGATTTATCTGTGTAACAATAAAATACAGATGGTATCTGGTATCTATTAATTACTCGCTATTGAACTCCCTTCGTTAATAAAAAATACTTTCATTTAAATAACTTTAACCAATTTAATGATTCCTTAATTAGTCTCTTAATTGGCATTCTCAGCTTTTCCAAAATTAGATCGAAAAAGGATTTTTGGTCCAAGAACTTTTCGATAAGACATTAATCAAGGTTTTCTAGCTTCATAATTTAATCGAAGTTCTTCGACGATCATGAATTTAATGATTTTCCATTGATATACCGCTATCCTCTTGTGTATTCAGGAAACATCGTTTCCTTTGACCTCGAAGAAAAAACGAAGCTTGTGCACGTTGAGACATTCGTTTGCTTAGGCTGATGGAAATATTTTTCGGAAATCCCTAATACTAATACAGTCCATTTTCTGTTATCTCAATTTTAGCAATTTCCAACATATTTCTCAAGTAATATTTATGCTTCAATAAATATCGCATAAAATGCTATTGAA